TGGTGAAGATACACGTAACGTAATTAAAGTTAGAGTATGGAAACTATAATGAGTACAAAATGGTAAGTAGATCAGTTGAATCGACAGACCTCGTTGTGTGAGAGTTAATATGACTGACTTGTTTCATATACCAGGAAAGCTTTTAACATTGTAACCTTATCCTTCAAAAATCTGATTTTTTGTCTGCCAAATTTGGTGAAGATACACGTAACGTAATTAAAGTTAGAGTATGGAAACTATAATGAGTACAAAATGGTAAGTAGATCAGTTGAATCGACAGACCTCGTTGTGTGAGAGTTAATATGACTGACTTGTTTCATATACCAGGAAAGCTTTTAACATTGTAACCTTATCCAACATTTTTTTCGCTGCAGGTAAATGTTCACATGACATCAAATGTGCCTAGAATCAAAGTTCGCACCAGTTATAAAGTACATGATGTATCAATAACACCTGCCATACAAGCCAGCCTGGTATTTTGATGTGGATCCAAAAAAAATGAGTCCTTCCAGAAATGTTTGGTTGGTTTTAATTGGACAAAAAGATGTTTGGCACTATTTTTGAAAGACAACATGGAGAAGTTAACTTGCAAATGTAAAGTAAAATGACGTAATAATGAAACATGCTTGAAATGTCCTAGACATGTTTGTAAACGTGATGGCTTAAGTGTAGCAATTAAGCTAAACCATGGGTCCAGGTCAGATGAGGGAAGAATTCATTCAAAGATATCCAAATCGATTTGACATAACAGCTGAATCAGAGATTCGTCAATTGAGTATTGCACTGACAACAAAACATAAAAAAACAAACACAATAGTATCATTAACTTCAAAAAGTAGATTGGAATTAGATATAAAGAAATGATTAGTTTCAATATTTTGTGAAACTAATGACACAGTAAAGCCTAAAGATGCAATGTTGAAGTTGAAACAAATGCATGATGCACTACAAGATAATTTCCCCAGCAATTCTCAAGTTAAAAATGCCATTTATGTGATGAAGAGTAAATATAAGAAGGATGGTATAATCCATATATATTTCATCATGTCATGTTTTCATTAATATATATATATATTTTTTTCCCGTCTTAGAAGTTTTGCCAAGCTTCTTTCATCAAGATCTACTGAAATAACTCTAAACCACTGTTTTCCAAAATGACCCTCTGTTGAACATCCTAGGTTCAGTACTAAAAAATGCTGGGCTGGCTCACGTGGCAGGTGTTAAATGACAAATAAATGATACATCAACAATTCAAGAAACGTAATTCTATTTAAAAATCTCCGATTTCTACAACTTTCTAAAACTATTTAAAACTAAATCAAAGTCTCAAGGATTTTAGTAAGAATTCAGATGTAAGTTAAACTTTTAAAAACATGACTACAAAATATACATACCGTACAGAAGTTTCAGCAAGGTTGTCTGGGTTAACAGGTACTTGGACGCCTTTCTCCCACTCTTGTTTCCAAGAATCTGAAATTAACCAGTAATCTTCTGGGGATAACTGATCACTATCTGGCAACTTCATGGCACTGATCAAATCTTTCCTAAATAGCTGGAAAATTAATAACGAAATGAGAATTTTAAGTTTCTCAAAGGTTAGACCAATATAGGATGAAATTAAATTTTTTACTGATGCATTAACTCCTAAGAGTTCTCAATTGTGCATCCAAATGTCAGAGTTTTAAGTCAATACTTTAATTAAGCAAAGAAAGAGATGGTAACATATATATATATATGCTAGATTTGCATTTGATTGCTGTTTTTTTAATATAAAAACCTAATTTTACTATTTCATATTTACACAAACATCTGAAAATATCTCAAATTAGCTTGTTAAATGTATGTTTGTAAAAGTACATACACACATTTTTTTAATTAATCAAGACTATAATATATAACTTTGTCATTTTTAGAACAAAAATAGCATAATTTATATTTTTTCCTAATTTTTTTATTGAGGTTACGAACCTGTACAGAAATACAGAAGTGAAAATAAATAAAATATACATTTTTCTACAAAAAATTTGATAATTATCTGGAGATTGTAAAGAATTCACATTGTGAAATTTGAAAATGTTCTAATGCATTAAAGTATCTTTAATCTTAAAATCAAAAATGCTTTGCATATTGGATAATCAACATTCTGAAAGAAAAAGGTTACCGAGAAAATATTTAATTAAAAAATCTTAATACTTAATTGAAAAACCTGATATTTTGTGTACAAAAACGTTGTAATTTTTACCAATAACCTGCAAAAGTTTGTAAAGATGTGCACACATTATCAAAAATCATAGTTTAATTACTCTCATGGATACTTTTGTGGTTACAGCCGGTAATGGAAGGGTTAATAAGATGAACATGAATATTAAAAAAAGACACTTATATTTTGATATTACAAAAACTAAAATATTGGAATTATCCCACAAAAATTACTTTATTAGAACAGCTAGCTAAAGTGGTCATCAGAGAAGTAATTTGTTATAGACTTTCCTTGTCTAGTTTTATATTTATACTTAGGAATGCTTGTATTCTTGCAATGTTGGTGAAATATAGTTTTCTGAAAATGCCCAATTTTTTCTTGAAGTAATCAAATAAAAAAATAATATAGCCATTTGTATATCTAAAGACAAAACAAAAACTACACCTTTACTTAGCTACAAATATATACATTCATTCAAAACTGTTAAAACTAAACTTCATTAAAACAAAACACAAGTCTAAGTCAAGCAGGAAATCACATAAGTAAAGGTCACTTAAAACTGGTATATTACGACAAATACATCAGTACATTACACAACTAATTATCAAATTTCATCAGTAGAATTATGACTTGATTATTTCTCAAACCTAGTACATCTATGATCTTTTTTAATGTGTACTGTTAAGTATCCAAAGTACATACAACAAATTATCTGACAGTACATTTGGAATATATAAAATTATTTGAAAATAATATATTTTGTTCATTATAAGTATCATATTAAACCTAAGGTAATGCCTAAACGTTTTTTCTTTCTTTGCATCAAGATAGTAAGTGCACTAATATAAATGACACCCATCAATTAATAGCAATTTGAGCATCTACAAGTTTGTGCTACATGCCCATTCAAGTATATAAAGATTTTCACAAAACTTTCACCCCTGACTACGTAAGCTATTCCGTTTAACTATATAAATAAATAACACAGCTTATTTTATTCTTAAAGTAATTTAACATTAGTCTTTTTTAATAATGAAGATTTTTCATATATTTACCTACATGAATTTTTTTTATCATAAGATATTTATTATTAAAGATTTAACTATTATACATCTAAAACAGCTTGTAATAAAAATGTTATAAAGTATTATCATTAAAATAATCAGTGATGTTGGAAGAAAATTTAAATTGCTGGGGCTGAGAACCATAATACAATGAAAACATCCCTTGACACAAAAGATATGGTCAAAAATTAACTTTCAAACTTTTTACTATCTTTTGGGGATTACCACAACATAAAATTTGTTAGCCTTATACCACTGCTGATAGCCCACTATTACATTTCTAAAATAAATGTTTTATTTTGCATGCTTGCAATCTATTACCACCTGTAATACAAGTGCTAACAAACGTAGCAAAAAAACAACTATGGTATGATACAAAATTACACTTGGCTAATAGCAGATTGTTTCCAAACAATTAAAATGCATCAAGGTAAAAAACAATTTTCTTTACATGTTTATATACAGGTATTATACATTTTTTTTGTTTCTACAACTTGTAGCTTTATAATATTTGGCCTACAATAAGTGAACAGAAATTAGCAAAAACCAGTGAAATCAAAATCATTTGGCATAAAACTAATCTAACAATGACACTACATGATCATCGGTTAATAATAATGAGGGAGCTCAATAACTTTGAATAACAAAAATTCTTAAAATCAGGTTTAGAAAAACTTTACAAGCCAAATTATTTGTAGGATAAATGCCCCACCAATTCGGGCATTTTCTTATAAAATTGCTTAAAGATGTTGTTATATACGTTAGGAAATATTTGTAATCAAAAATGGTTTGATCCTAAATACAAGTTTAGGTAAGATACTATCGGATTTTGCACAAAGCTACATATGGGCTGTCTGTACTAGCAGTCCCTAATTTTGAAGTGTTAGATTAGAGGAAAGTAAGCCAGTCAACACCAATTCTTTGCCTACTCTTTTCAGACTAAACAGTTGGAACTGACCATCAATCTTGTAATGCACCTATGGCGCTAAAATGTGAAGGGTGAATATTTTTTTCTTTGGCAGTAAAGGGACACAAACTACATCTCTAGAGTCCAGCAATCTTAACCACTGGGCAACATTAGGCTCAAAACAATGAACTGGTTTGTTTGTTGCATATAATTGCATAAAGTTATGCACAAGGGCTATCTGTTCTAATGGTTCTTAAGTTTGAACTGAAAGATTAGAGGGAAGGCAGATAGTCAAGAGCATCCACCACCAACTCTTGGGCTACTCTAATCAAACAATAAGGGTTTTACCTTCACTTTTATAATGCACACAAAGCCCACATTGTAGACAGATGATTTTTTGGTAACGGGATACAAGCCATGGACCCTCAAGTTCACAGTCTGTTACACCAACCATTAGGCCATATCTAGCCCTGATGAATTAGTACCTAGTTTGATATTTAGGACACAAAATTTCATTTTAAAATCAGATTTTCTAAAATTATTTAGCTTTTTATTTTCTAGCTTAAACATTATGATCAAGAATCACTTTAGTCATTTTTAATGTTTGTTATTAAATAATATATATATATATACTCAATAATAGCATAAACTCACCTCTGCTGGCTTATTATTTTTGAAAGAGCTATTATAAATTTTGGACATTGGAGGATCTGTCAATTTTATCTTTCCAAGAGCTGCAGAAAATGGCCCTGTAAGAATTATTATTTTTAATTCTGATATTCTAATGCAATATGCAACACATAGAAAACTTTTAATATTTACCTTCACAAAAATGCTTTAATGGTATTTACCTTTACAAAAACATAAAAGTTTTGTTTGACACAACCTCCCACCATAATGTCGTATTTTTCAGTTACTTTTATGAACCTTTCTAATTATTATTTGAAGACAGAATGGTTAAAATCAACAGTATGTGGAATTTCAGTAAAACCTTTGAACATTTCATAATCTACATATCTACTTTGCTTATATTTAATTATGTTGCAATAATAAAGTTGTTTTTCTCTTCAAATGAGTCTTTAGAATGTTTATTAATAAATATAAAAAGTAAATATACGTATAATGTACTAAAATTTTTCTTCTTCTTCTTTTTCATTTCTGAATCATCAGTTTGACGAAATACCAGAAATCAGCACATTTTAATCATGACTAATCTTACCATTTGCAAACATAAAATGAGAAAAATTGCACGTTTGATAACCAACGCAGAAAATCATTGGTAACACAACAGACAAAATTATGGGACTTCATATAAAATCAAAATTAAAACAAAATAGTTCATTTAAATGGTGGATAATTTAAATATTTTTTGACATATACATGTATACTGAGAATATGCATATGTGTGTGTATATATATATGTATAATTTTTTTATACCTATTGCCGATCAATGCTTAGTAATGCACAACATATCAGTAATTATAATAACCATTACCATCAAATAGAAAAACTGTTTACTGCTCCATATCAAATTATCAAAATTACTGTCATATTTTTAATTACCAAAAAATATCAAATCACAATTTACTGCTGCTTGACAAGAAGATTAATGCCCAAGTGGGTAGGAATTACACCAATAAAACTATACAATTAAAGAAAATATATGTGAAAAACCATAAATTTAGGAAAATGACTATTCAAAGACAAAAAAAAGTATTGTTCATTCTATTTCATATTTTCCAACTTTTCATCTCATTGCACATTGATAATTTTGATACAGTTAGTGTTAGAGCAGAGAAAATAACTGATACGATATATATATAGCAAAAATACAACAACAAAAAACTTCTGATATTCAGTTAAGAGGTTCTAAAGGTTATGCAGCTAAAATATGAAACTAAGATTAAGAAAAGTAATTTTCATTCTTAACATGAAATTCACCTTGCACTCTCAGTAAAGGCTTTAGAAATTCAGAGAAATCTTTAGTAGAAATATTTTACTCAAAATTCAATTTTTTTACATTTAACTGGCCTGTAATGTTTACTAAAAGTTTGCCAAATTTTATGAAGTTACATGTAGCAAATTCAGAATTACAGTAAACATTATGTCTTAGCTTCACAGATGCAGAGTCAGTCAATGAACTGATGCCACTGACATAGGGTTAATGGTTTTTGTTTTAACTATACTGAATGAATCAATTTATAACATGAAACAACATCTAATGTGATTTTTCAAGAAATGTTTGAGCCAAAACAACAATGTTGTGATTGAGGTGTGTGGCAAATGCATCTACGTGGGGAAACCCCATCTATTACAGAGCCACTGGAAAACGAGGGGGGATCTAAAGACCATTTTGTCGGATATATCTGGTCGAGGCAGGAAAGATAATTCGCTATGAGATTGAAAGCACTCGGGATGTGATATGTAAGGAGATGAATATGGTATGTGTGGGCCCAATATAGTAGATCCCCCTCGGTCATCCACATATGTGATCACTTCAGTGGGCTCTTACTTAGAATCCCTAGTCAGCTCCCATTACCCCTCCTGCTACCTTGATGGACGATCTGCATTAGTGGTTGGACAAGGCCCATACATCAGCAGGCATTTCATTTCGCTTCCTCCTCCTTGTCCAGATTTACATCTTTTCATGGACGCATCTCTTCAGAGCTGGGGTGCGTGGGTCAGTCACCAGTAGGCTTCAGGTCATTGGTCTGTAGACAAAAGGTCTTTGCATATCAATGTCTACGAGCTTCTTACAGACTGTCAGGCTTTGAATCATTTCCTTCCTCATTCTCATTTCCTTCCTCACCGACATTCTCTGGTGATGATTCATTCTGACAATTCTACGGTGGTAGCACATATCAGTCATCAAGGGGGGCATCCAGTTGAGATCTCTCTTTTTTTTTTTAACGTTGGACCAGTGATGGCATTGAAGACCACATCCCCAAAAACAACAGAACCCCGCGAGCAGAAAGTAAGGGAGATAAAAGGGGCATGGCAAACTAACAGTTCCATGGAACGTAGTCATAGAGGAGAAGGTTGGGCCCAACTGAGATGAGTGTCGAAAACGAACCCAAGTGGACGAGATACTGGGTAGGTTGGAGGAAGGACTTCTCTAATTTGATTAAACAGCCTACCCAAGTTCTGAATGAGCCAGAAGAAGCAAGTCATCCATATAATGGTGGAATCGCAACCCCAGAGCATGAAGATGGCAAGCAAATACTCTGACCACCTGACAGAAAACACAAGGTGTGGAAGCAAGCCTGAAGGATAGGGTATGAAATTGATAAACCACCCCATGATGGACAAACCGAAGATATGGACGAGACTGTGGTGATAAGCATAGGCAACATCCATCTTGGTCATCCATATGCCCAGAGAAAGAGCCCACCGTAGGATGAGAAATGACTCCATGGTAAAACGGGGTTTACAAAGAAGGGAAGGAGACAAAGGAAGAGGTACTGAAGGGAAAAATTGCAGTTGTTGTAAACATGGAAACAGGGATAGCTAAGGAATGAGAAAGGGAGAGACGGGAAAATGTAACAGGTGCCATATTGGGCTCCGACTGAGACAAATAGGCAACAAGGCTGAAAAGGGTACACTGTTGTTGTACAGATGCAACTCGTGATTCCAAAGACTCAAGGATTGTATCAAAGACATATTGTCACAGAAATGGAGCCATACATATATCCTGAAAATAAGATGATGGTAAACGGATGCAAGTTAAGGTCGCATCATGACCTAGATGGTCCCATTGTAAAGCCTGAGCCAAAGACGACAAACAAGCCAATGTGGAGGAAAGGAGAGAGAGGATGTCACCAGAAAACTCTCAGAATTTTGATGAAGAGCCTCAGAGAGGAGATGGATGGTAGAAAGATACCATAAAAGAGTTGTGAGGGTAAGACAAAGGCGGAAACTGGGCATGAGTCAGATTTACAGGAGATTTGGGAAATGCACCCCAAACAGGTAAAAATGGAACCTAACAATTGCTGGTTCAGAAAATGACAGTCTACACAGTAATATGCAATAGAAAACTCATCCAAAGCTCATGGGGGGTGAGACAAGTTGGTCAGCATGTACCTAAATATCTGGGGAGGGGGGGAAACCAAATAAGGATGGGAAGTTTGGTCATGTAGTAAGGAAGAACACAGGTCATAGGAAATAGGGAAAAGAGATAAAACATCACATTCCCGAGAATTGAAATCCAAAAAAGACTGTATTAGGCCTAACTGACTCCTCAGGCAGGGCATGGGAAGGCACAGCAAAATCAGGAGGTAGAAATAGGCGATGCAAGACCTCGTCTGCCTGAACAGGCTCAGCTTGTTCGGGAGGAAGTGGGGCAAGGTCCAGAGACAGCGGTCAACCCCTGTAACATTCACTCTCCTGGCGAATAAACGCGGATAAATCACACACCGAGTTGCCTGAGACATGGTGCTAGTCACAGGTGAGACCCCAAAGTGGTAACATGAACTTTGAAATTCATAATGAGGAATAGTCAACCAATAATCAAAAGTATAAATAACAATGTGACTATAATAAACTGGGATTAAAGTGAAGTTAAGAAACAGTCTTAATAGAAACTAGAAGTGAAAATAAATGAAGATCACTTCGTGAGTATACTAAAAACGAAGGTGAAATTTGAAATAAACAAAAAGGGACACATTCAAGCACAAACCTTGCCAAACGAGAAGTGATAGCTTAATAAAAGCATATAGAGGGAATCACATATGTCATATGAGTATGTCACGCTCCTATTGGTGGAGAAGTGACGCATGATGATTTACATGAGAGACATGTTGGAATAATTTAATTCCAATGGGGGGGGGGGCAAAAGGCTTGTGACATGCATAAAGAAAAAAATTGCATATAGACAGCAGCACTGGACAAGAATAGCTAATCTTGTGAGCATAGGAAAGTACTGTATCATAACTAGTACAAGTTTAACTAAGTAATAAATGTTCAATGTTTTGATAAAATTTTATACTAAATGGTGATGTTGTACATTTGTTACTATGCTAAGCTTATCTTAGAGTTTTCTTTGCTACTCATTTAAGTTGTCTTCAAACTGTAATAACATATCACCAAGTTAAGCTTTTATTACTTTGCTTTGATAAGTACACAAGTCTCTGATGATCTGGAAGCTGCAGTGACTTGCATAGTTAAAAAGAAAAGAAATGAGGCTTTCATTACATGTTTATATCATTAGCCTATGTCTTCTCAAAGCTGAGATATAGGCAGTTACATCATAATAACAACAAAGAATGAGAATAGTGACTGGCTAAATGTAATAAAACTATACTTGTATCGAAGTTATAAGATCCAAATTGGCACTGTTTTGTTAAGGCAAGTTAAAATCAACCCAAAATTAAAAAAATTTATATTAAATCAAACAAATAAACTTTTCATTAAACAAAAATGTGTGGATGAATGAATACAAATGTATTTTCTATAATTTTTTTAAATTTAATAGTGCAATTTTGCATTCAGGGCAGTAAGCACTCAGCCAAGTGGCATTGAATTAAAGAGATATAAATTAGATAGAAATAAGGATTAAATAAAGCTACTTATAATAAGTTGTTCTAAAAATAAACTTGAATTTTCCAAGGGGAGGAAGTTGACCATTAAAATTTCCAGAGCAAAACTAAAATTTGAAATCAAATCTAATCTACACAATGCAGAAATTGAACATAAAAATATTTAACTGCACTAAGTCAGAATACACATTTGTTTCTTGGTTTGGTTGATTTACTTTTTCACAAAGCTACTTGAGTGCTGTCTGCAATAACTGTCCCCAATTTAGAAGTGACAGAAAAAATGAAAGGCAGTTATTCAACACTATCCTTCACAGCTTTTGGGCTACTCTAATTGGATAGGGGTTTAGAGGATTGACTGTCACATTATAATGTCCCCATAGCAGAAAAACCAGACATATTTGGTGATGGGATTCAAACCATGATTGTAAATTAAGCCCCCCCTAACCAACAGGTCATGCAAAGCCCACAGCACTAACTAAAGGGAATCTCTTAATGAGATAACCTAGTTATGGAAAGAACATTTATTAAAAATGAAAAGTAAATAAAACTATACATACGTATACATATACTGCATTCATAATTAAGGAATGTTATACAATTAGTGGTCTAAACCATGTACAACATGGAAAAGAATTGGTTGCTACTGTAACAAACAAAGTGATCTTCAAAAGTTTCCTTGTACATCTTTAAATAAAAATCTATGTAAAATCTTCATACCACATAGAAATGTTCTTGTTTTACTTTAGATTAGATTCTGAATATATTTTACTGTGATCAAGAAACATACTTAAATTTGCACTTTTATGTATTGTTAGTAATTTAGTTCAAATCTTAATATGTATTTAAGGTTCAAAAGGATACTTTCAGTGGGGTGTTTGCTATGCTATTAAGACGTTGCTATCTATTTATAAGTAATAATTACAATGCACTGATTGTAAACAACACTATCATTACATATGTGAATGTCACAATAAAAATTATATTTTAGTAGTGTAAAAACAATTCCTCTCCTTTGATGTCTAACCCATTTCAAAATATTTGGATGAATAATAAAATTTAGATAGATAGATAATACAAAAGCCTAAGGGAAAATGTACTTCAAATTAATGTCTACCAAAACAAATGTATTGAAGAATATATAAAATCGAAAATTAGCAAACAAAGATCACAAATTTTCTTATAGCTTGTTCTAGGCAATAAAAATTCAAAAACCAATGCTTTTCCAAAAATGCAGACAGCTAAGTGCTTCTACAACATGTATTTTTACTAACATGTGATTATGAGTCACATCAAACATTTTGATAAATGTACGAGTAACACAAAAAAAGACCATTGTAAAAGAATTTAATACAGTCACACTTGTTCAAAAAATATGTAGATGAATCTCTTAATGCATTAGAAAAAATGACAATTCACAACTAATAGAAACCCCATATAATTATCATACCTCTGCTATCTTCACTTTCACTACCACTATACCTTCTTCGCCTCTTCTTCCCAAAGGAAGCTTTAAAAATTAAGAAAAATTACAATTCAATTATTTAAGAATTAACATAAGTAGAAAATTGATTGTAGCAAATGGAATAAAAACTTGTTTATTTTAATAGCTAATACCAAACAGTTAAATCTTGTAACACTGTGACAAGGAACTTTTGTGAAAATTACAATAAGTACAATCTTAAGAGTTCTTATAGTTGTCAGATAAAGCTCTTCGGCTATGGAATTTTTTATGCTAAGATTAATTAAATTTTCATTAGCTCTTACAGTTAGAGAGATTTAAAATCAGATTGTTTTATCTGTTACTTGTTGTCAAATATACAAGTAATTAAGCTGAAACCTACTAATTCCAACTATTTATGCCAGTGGTATAACCAGGTACAAAATTTTTGATGGGCCTTGACTTACAATAGATGGGCAAGGGGCATGAAAACCACTAGAGACAAGTTACAGGGAACTAAAAAAAAGTGCTATGTATGATGTATTGGGATATGGGAACCATCAAGCAGACTCCAACAAGTTGGGCAGGCCATGACCCATCTGTGATTATGCCACTGGGTATATATATAATCTACTTTAGCTCAAACAGTAGGTAATATCTCATAAGCATAGCAAAATAAATCAACTTGACATTATTCACATCCATCACTTTATTCATGTGTTATATCAGTTAATACAGCTCAGCTCCTAATCCACCAAATCACATTTTGTTCAATGCAACCCAGTATGTTTCTTACACAAGTTAGGAGCCAAACTGAATTGAAATTTAATTTTACAGCACATGAATAAAATGATGTAATATGAATAATGTCATGTAGCATTATTTTGCTGAGTTTAGGAGATATCACCTACTGTTTAAACTAAAGTAAAAATTTTACTTTCTTTTTACTCAGGTGTTTTTGAATAATTTCATGTATTTTTTGTGTATTACATCAACTCAAGACACACTAATAATTATTGTATAAATAGCTTTTTAAAGGGAGGCAATTCATACAGGGAAGTAATATGGAATTTACAATATTGCTAATATTACACACATTATCAAGTAGGTTACATGGGTTAGAAAAATTTGTGGATAATGTGTAAGAAAGAGTCAGAAGCAGCAGTGACACCTGGTGGAACTCTCATTCTAAGCTAAATTATGCAAGACAAACTCTGGTAAGAGTGACCAGATGTTCTTTCTCATTCACTGCTGATGTGAAATGCTTTCATAAATAAATATTTATTTACAACTAAAAATAACTAGATAACTGCCTCAGCTAAGTAGATACAAACTGATTTCACTGCTTCATGCTGCTAGTGCTAGGATTGGTCTATATCAAGACATTTGAGAGACAGTATGGATCTTCTGACTTTATTTTCTAGATGCTTGCAGTTCAAACACCCAGACTAGCATTTGCTACTGCATTTGGCATGCTTACTTTTTGGAGTTGCCTCTCTTAGTGGCAATTAATAGCAGAATAGTGGTTATTTTGAAAGCCATTTGAAAGAAGAATTTACATTTTCACATTCAAACTTTGCAACAGTGTGCACACTGATCTTTCTTCTTCATATTCATATCACTAAGAAAAAAAATATTTACACCAATTTCTTTTTTTATCGCTGGACAAAGATAGGGAGTACTGAAACTTTGTGTGGCTATAGAATCAAAAATAGGCAAAGCTGATGAAGGCATATAATGCTCAAGATAAAACATAACACTTGCCATTTTTAATTCTGGAGAAGAGTAATAAAAATGAATATTTTATGCACAATGAGTAAACTATGTAAGCAAAAAAGACAATCTTTATGTTTCTTCTTTTACTTTTTTATTTGGCTACCATTTGGTTTGATACTGTACATTATGAGATGAGTAGTTACACAAAAAAGAAAGATACAGTAATTCGATAGAGGCTGGTTGTTCTGTATGTTATTAACTATTACTTATTGCATATGATTGTTTAAAAGTTATTTCTATCAAGAAAACCTTTCATGTTTTAGAACTTATTACCAAGTTCTATTTTAACACTTGTAATAATGAAATTACAAATACAAGTTACTTTAATGAGCATTACATACTGTATTAGCGACGTAGCAATAAATGGATTTTATGTTAATAGGAAATTAAATAATTTAAAATAAAAAAACTAATTTATGAGTAATTTGACTATCATCAAGCACTGTTAAATATTATAATACTATAATAAATGGATTTAATGTTAATATGAAATTAAATAACTTAAAATCAAAAAGCTAATTTATGAGTAATTCAACTGACCTCAAGCACTGTTAAATATTAAAATACTATAACAAACAGGCAAAATGTGACATACCCCGTACATCCAGTGATACACTGGAATTCCTCTTGCCTTTGGCAGCAGAGGCCATTTTCGTTCACACCTGCCTGCACTAGCAGGTGGCGAAATTAATGTTGAATACCTGTAAAATCAAGAAGCACTGATGAATTTTCTTTAGTAATAAAAGTGTGTGAATGTGTTATCTTTAATCTTGAAAAAAATTGAAATGAAAATTTTCACTCAAAAACACATGCATCTACTATGCTTGCATTAATGTAAATTTGTGTTTTCACACAAAAACACTGGGTTAAAAATGCAAATACTTGACAGAAAAGTGTAACATGTTTCATTATCACAAACATATATATGCTACAGATATTTTATAAAATTGACATTTATTTGAGCAATTTGCACAGCAACCCATCTTAAGGCCATCATATACTTTTGTTTTAAGGAATAGAATCTGAAAATGTTCACAATGTTTCAGGTTTTTTTTACTTCTGGCAATAAAGAGTGCTGTTGTTTTTAACACACGTTACCAAAAACTTTCACAGAAGGTGCAACATGGCTGTTTCAAAATTTTATATATGTAAACAATAGTGTCAGACAAATTTAACTACTATTTTCTTATATAAAAAAAAAAGTTCAGAATCTTAAAATCTATTTATTTCTTCATTTTGGGTAACACATTTTGTTTATCAAGAAAATTAAAAACTATCTTCCTTACACCTTTCAAGTGAGAAAAAAACAAAAAACAACACTAAGATACCCTAAAATATCCCACTTTACAATTTACTTTCATTTTAAAAATGTTGCTGGGAAGGGAAAGATGTACCAAGAACTTCTATAGTTTTTGACTTAGTTATGGGACTCAAAATTCTTCAAATGACACAGGTCTCCAGGCTACCAATTTCAAATGTCTAAGACTTTTTAGAATATTAGGGTGCACTGATCTAGCTATACTAACAACTATTAAGTCTGGTGGTCAGTTAGGAAGACACTTACAGTTCATTTTCAAATAATTATTACTGAGAAAAACAAGCCAATTATCTTTAGAGCTAACCCTTGTAAAGGTTACTGCACTGTTGATGCTAACAGGAATGGTTCTAACATTGGAATTGACATTTAAAAAGGTTCAGATCTACCTAAAGGAAACACAGTCTGCAATTTTGTAAACTATATTTTCAGCGTTTCAATTTAGATCTTAGGTGGAGGGGGAATGATAGCACCAAATATTTCAAAACCATTCTATGTAAACAAAATCAAGATCCAAATATACAAAAATGTTTTACTGTCACTACAGAAAAAATACAATAGTATAATGACCAAAAACGTTGTTGAGAAAGGTCTGACACAACTTACATAACAAAACATTTCTTTTCACCCCGACACATTACATACTGAACAAACCTACATTCTAAATGAAAACAACAACAAATTGACTGTAATAGAGCAATCATAATATTAAAATATAATCTACTGAGAAGACTGGAGAAAACAGATACAGTTAAAGCTAGTGACTTAATGACTATAGTGACTATAGATCTCTGCATTGACAGTTCACTGTGAATTGAGGAGATTGAAATGAATTATTCCTTTGATG